GAGAAGCTGGCCATGCCTTGTATTCCTCTTTTTCTTTCTCTCACTCACTCCCTCCTTCCCTTTCTTTTTTCCATACCATTGAACCCCTGTCAATGTTAGGCTTGAAGGCAAATTCTTTCCCCCCTTTGCACCCTGTTTCACATTACTTTTAAGTCTAGTGCTGGCCTGGCCTGAGCCCCTGAGCTCAGAAGTTAAGATTTGTGATGCGCAGATGACATGAGCAGGGAGTTGCTGGTGGCTGTTCAGACGCTTTTGCAAACCAAAGCCCATAATGTGTTATATGATGTGACTGGAAACCAGCACCAGCAAACTGCTGTTTTCCCAACACTGTATACTTATTAGACTGACGGACGGATCACCATATGGTAGTGAGGAGTACCCGTCAAAAGTTTTGTACCAGCATTTTCACTTAGAAATCCTGATTCATCAATAAGTTTGCACTACAATTTTTTTCTAAATTTACCATAACATTTGCAACCAGCTGAAACCACACATACGAAAAATTGCATACTTCCGGTGGCCCTGGATATGTCTAGCATTCAATATATGGCAAAGTGTGGGGTTAGTAAGATTTAAGTTTTTTTTTTTTTTTTTGACAAAAATATATATATATTTTTATTCAGCAAGGAATGCATTAAATTGATTGAAAGTGACAGTAAAAAGTTTTGATACAAAAATAAGTGCTGTTCTTTTGAACTTTATATTCATTAAAGAATCTTGAAAAAGTCACGGTTTCCACAAAAAATATTAAGCAGCACAACTATTTTCACCTAGGACAATAATAAGAAATTTAATGTTTCTTGAGCATCAGTTCAGCATATTAAAATGATTTCTGAAGGCTCAGAAATGTGACACTGATGACTGGAGTAATTGCTGCTGAAAATTAACCTTTGCCATCAGATGAATAAGTTATACTGTATTTTTGACTAAATAAATGCAGCATTTGTAAGCATAAGAGACTTCTGTCAAAAACATGTTGGTATTACACTTTATTTTACAGTGTCCTTGCTACACATTCCATGTATTTACTATATAACAGTAAATTATGCATAATTAAAAAAAACTAGCCCTAAACCAGACCCTAACCATATAATATTATACAGTACTTATTTGTGTAATTACACTGTAACAAGGCCACCTTAAAATAAAATGATACCCAACTGTTTAATGAGTTGGGTTTTGTGAATTGCACATTTGATTTTACTTGAAGATCTTGCTGCGCATGCTCCACACATGAAACTGGGTGTGCGGAGAGTGCAAGTACGTATAGGAGACAGAGGTGTAGCCCTTTTCTATATTATATATGAGCATGACTTACTGTGTTCACTTGTAGTGAGCACACACTCCCTCATTTACAATTATTTGGATTCAATAATATTACAACAAAAGTAAATTAATGTTGTTGTAACGATCCACTGAGGCAAGTTGAAGTGAACCCAAGTGCAGTTTATTTAAACCTTGAACAAATACAATCAGAAACAACCTTGGCTTGACTAGAAACATGTAATGACCATGACCATGAAAACAAACTCACCTACAGTGGTTACACAGACAAAGCTAGACAATGGACAATGAAACATGAGGGCTATATATACAAAGAGACTAATGACAAACAAGGAACACCTGGAATAATCAAGACAATAAACCAATGGAAACACAGGAGACATGACTCAAACCAATCAATCAGAACACATGAACAAGACAACCAATAGCAGGATCACATGAGGGCAAGGGAAACACATGACAGGATCCATGACTATGAAAAAATAAATAAATAAGACATGAAAACAATGAACATGAAACAAAACCAACATTACAGTTGTAAATCGGACAGATGTTTTGTATGAGAATGTTTTCTGTGCACATAAATATGCAAATTATAAGCAAATGAGGCAAACTGACTGTGTGAATGTAGCCTGTCAGAGCAGTATATGGAAATGTATTGTCACAGCGATGCTGATTTTGCTATTTAAATCACATAGTTACATAGTCTGATGCTATGTACACTGTTGCACAAACATGCACCATGACATCTGCCTACAATGCTGTTTAGTATAATTACAGATGGTAGGGGAACGTTCGCATTCACGTAAAAGCATCTAACTGATGTTTGTGATATCATAGGCACTGGTTGCAGATAAAGGCCACCCTGTTGCGGAGCATGATGTGTTTGTGCTCTGGGCTGGATACTGCTATAATAAAGAGCTTTATAGGAGCGACAGTAAAGGTTGATTTATACTTCTGCGTCGGACCTACGCCGTAGCTTTTACGTCGTAGGCTATGCGTCAGTTTTAATTTATACTTCTGCGTAGTTGTCCGCGTCAACGTGCAGTACACATGCAAACCGCTAGTCAGCAGTGTCCATGGGCATGTTGCTGGTGTAACCCGCAGTACCACGGCAAAAGCCGAAGAAGAAGCGGCTCGTCGGAGAAGCATTATAGCAGTGACGGCGGCAAATAAATATCAAATCGGGAGGGTTCTTGCAGACCAATCACAGCGCTGGCGGTCTGCGTAGAATTGACGCGCTGTTAGATTTTTGGAGAGGTGCACGTCAGGCTACGGCGTATGGGTGTGCGTCTATGTGTAGGCTACGGCGTAGGTCCGACGCAGAAGTATAAATCAGCCTTAAGCCACCCTGGTGCTAACACTCACACTCTCCCGCCTGTAGGGTGGTCATAGCTCACTGAGCAGCTATATCGCTGTGACAATGAGCTTTTAAATCCAACACAACCCTCTTAGCCCTCCGAGTCTCCACTGGAACATGACCAACATTAACTCTTGAAGTAGAATGTGGGAAAGCCTATTTGTGGACATATGTACTGTATGTATGAGGTCATAAACCATAAACAAAATGGAGCTTATAAAAAATATCAAGTAGATATAACTGTATATATAAAATAAAGTAAACAAACATTTATATTTACATTTAAAAATTAAATCAAAAGAATGAATATTTTTAGTAGTTTCCTTTAAAAAATTGACTAAACTGCTCATTAGTAATAGTATACTCCTGTAGATCCTTGTGTCAAGTCTCTTAAAGTATGAGATCATTTGTCCTTTTTATGACCAGAAAACATGTTCAGGTTGCAAAATGGCATGTGGTGTAACTACCCAAATATGTATATATTTATATATTTGTAAATTAATAATTTATGATATTTGTAAACAAACACACACACACACACACACACACATATATATATTGTATAAATGGTATATTGGTACTTTGGTATTTGGTATTCTGGTGTTTGGTAAATTATATAAAAGTTTTCCAAAGCCATGTGAAAGCAACATAAATATAAAGTGTACATTTCTAAGAGCTTAGCACGTGTTTTAAACTACATTTTAAAAATATTTTTCTTTTTTTTTATCATGTATACACTTACAGTACATGTCACAGACCCTTGTCATCGCCACATCGTTTAAGTTGTTCACCACTTATTAGTCTCTATATTTTTATTTATTAAATTTTTTAGTTTGTTGCAGCTAAAGTATATCAGGCATCTCACTAGGGGGGCTTCTGTGCCGAGGGCTTTGTTTTTGCTTGAGAAATGTCCCTACAGGCCAGCAGATATAGAGCAAGAAAAAAAAAACACTCAGCCATCACACCTGAGAGAAAAGAGAGTTTTAGCAAGCCAACAGCAAACAGCTCAAATCTTTCTCAGCCAGAGCTGACAACAGCCAGACAGGCTTTCCCCTGGTGACTGTGCCTGCTGATAATTTACTTTTCTGGGGAGGACATGTTTGTCGGAGGAAACAATTGGCAGGTTAAATAATTGATAGGGGACATTTTATTGAGGCACACCAAGATTTTGCCGCTGACCCTGAGTCAAGGTCACTGTGACTGAAGGTTTCATTTAAAAAATCTCTGACATGAATGTTACAATCACTTAGTGTTGTTAAAACCTCAATTTACAAGCTTAATTCAGCTGGGTGATATGAACAGCTGAACAGCAGATATGTCAAGCTCTGACAGGTTTGAGTGTGACTGTATATACGTATATGCCCACCTATGTAAATTGGAGCTATGCTTGTCTTTCCATTCCCATACATCTGACAGCTATATGGCCATTCTGTTCAGTAAAGCATGAGTATGTGAATCCTAATTTAAAGATGAATCCACTGTGGAGTATTTTGCAATGGCAGATATCCTTTATTAAAAATAGACATAGCTGGCTTGACGAGAGCAAGTCCAGAACAAATATGGATGTTTAGTTACACCGCTTCTCTGCTTATTTATGAGGTGATCATTCTTCCACACTCCCGCTAATGCATTTATATTTATTTCATAAATGTCACTGGCCATTGACTTAAATCCTACATCATTTATTTAAAAGCATTAAGATGTTCTTGGAAAATTTTAACTTAGAGAGTAGCTACACAGTTTTAAAGTTTGGAAATTCTGGATTCCACAGAAATATTTACAGTATGTTTGTATTTCATATAATAGGCCAAAATAATGTAACTTTTGCACACTTTTAAAATCACCATCACTTATTTAATGTGCTCTCTGATAATAGTGATGATTTATTTGCTTATGTTATGTTTATGGGTTAATGACATGATTTATTTATTTATTTTTTGCATTAAAATACATGCAACATTAAAAGAATTAAATTCCTGAATTCCTGAATAGAAAGTTATAATAAATATTTTTTTTAACAAAACTGCTTCATGCTTATTAGTATTTGAAAAAAAAAAATTACAACATGTAATTAAAGCAAAGTCATGTGGTGTGAAAAGGAATTAAGACATGAGCCCTGCCTGTCATGACGTCTAGTAATAGCATTGTCTTGAAGTATGCAAGGAAAATGTGCACTTGATGGTTACACTACATGACATTTTTTTTAGAGTCATTAAATGAAAACTTTTGTTGAAATGGTATACATTTTTTAAAAACAAACATGAATACAAAAAGTAAATTCGTAAAACTGTGTTTTAAAATGTATTTTAAAGTAGTTTTTCTTTTCAATATGGACATTCTTGTGTGCAATTGACCCTTACATATATTAAATATGAATATAAGAATTGATATGAAGTGAGTGTATGTATTTAAGTTGAATATATTGTTTAAATAATTATTAAAACTGTGACCTGTATTCATGTAGCACTAGTGTGCCTGTGTGGTGACTACAGGAATGTGTTTGCAACACTGCTAGGGCTTGTTACATCTTTAATTTGGGACCAAAATCCTACTTCCCACCAATACCATGTGAATCTTATTTAACTAAAACTGTTCAGCAATGAGATTCCCTTTAATTCGTGAGACAATAACCGAGCGAGAGGCATGGGTATTATGAAGAAGATTAGCAGTGCAGGTTGGACGGATCCAACAGCTGCCATTCGTTCTGTTTAATTCAGGAGGTTTCCTGTAAGCTGGTGAATCCACTATCACAAGCACCTCTGAGACTCCCTTGCTCCAAGGCTGTGCAAGCCAAATGTTTTTTGAAGTGCAAATGCGATGACGGGAACTGCCTTGATGGCCTTGGCTGTGACACATGCACCTTGGGGCTAGGTCAACAACATCAGGCCTCGCCGTTCTTACACAGGTTGCACGGGGGGCCTTGGACGCGAGCCGCCTGCCCTTCCAGCGGCGTGACGGTGGACTGCAACACTGGCACAGGAATCACAATATGAGTCACAATGCTTCCACCTTGTCGATATTACCGCCTTCCCCTCCTTTTCTGTCCTTCAGCCTCATGGAGCAGGAAGGTCTGACTCTAGCTGTCAGCTGGGGTGTAGAGGGTTTGACCTGGCCTTTCCTGTGACCAACCTTCTCCTCATTCCAATGCTCGGTCCTCCTCCATTGCGTCGCTACCCCTCCAACATCCCACCGCAGAGCTGGAAGCCTGCCGAGTGCTCCGACATGGTTGCCCCCTTTCTAGAAAAATTAAACTGCTGGAATTGAAGAGAGCAAAGCCAGGAGGTGAGCGCAAGAGAGACCCATGTCTCGCCTGTTACTGTTTAATTAGCCTACTGGGCTTTTGAGGCCTTGAGAAATGGCGGTGTAGATCCGACCTTCTTAATCCCAACCTGCCATAAACAAGTCCCGAGCCCACCGCCCGGTCCACTCTGGCAGGGATGGGAGAGAAAGTCCCCGATGTACCTGTCAAAAGACTTAAATCTCACCTCGATTTTCCCCTGAAGGCTTTGGAGGAACCATTTTTAATCCTGCCCCCCTTATTAGATGCATGATTTTATTGATTCCTTCTCCTCTGCTGCTCTTTATAGTGTAGCTATTATGGTAGAAGAGAATAAAAGAGTAGTGATTTAAAACATCGCAGTGCAGGACTCAATGAAGCCGGGATTGCCTGGGACACTTGGCAGCGCAGACGTGTCTTTATCCACAAGCATGCTGACATAAAAATGATCAAAACGTCCCAGCTCTCTTTTTGTGATCCTGCTCATCCTCTCCTTAGTTTATCAACATCTCTGAGAATTTGGAGAAGGTAAAAAGCATGTCTGTTACTTTTATGAAAAGTGAGAATGGTACCCTGCATCGGTAGTGATTATGACACATAAATCAAAGAGGAATGTTGCTTGATGTAGACATACTTCTTTTACTAAACTCAGGAGAGGCAGAAGCAACAAAGACTGAAGGCTGGTCTTGTAGTGCGATGTCATCATTGTTGCTGTGTTCTTTGAAGGCAACTCCCATATTGAGGATCAATCACGTTAAATCAGCCGCTTCAGATTATAGAGGAGGCATGTTCGGTGTCCATTTTCTATGCTCATAAATGAATACAGAACCGAAGCTATGAAGAGACAAAGAAAGGAAAACAGTGGACTGAAGAGCTACTTTCACTATTTTCACTAGTTTTAAATCTATACAGTGCATGTAGAGGCAGGTCTAGCTATCATGTCTTGGAATTGTATCTTTGACATGTCAAAATGGCAGACATTGGTTGAATCCGTGAGTCCTCTACGGGCGTAGACATCATCCCCTAGAGAGACGTTTTGAGTTTGGATATGCCTACACAAGATAGGCTGTTTTTTTAGGCCTATTGTTTCTCTTATGGTGTGGCGCATTACCTCTTCACTCAAATCACAGCTGGAAGATGAGCAGGAACATTTTTTCCCAGGTGTCAAATGCCATCGCCTTCATCTGCGTCACTTTGTCCTGCTTGGACACAGCCTGACACGTAGCCCAGTCCAGCTGAGAGGGTGAAATATATTTGGTCACTGTCCTCTACCTCTCCATACAGGATTAATTAAACATGTGCTTTTCAAGGGTAATTCAGGTTGACAGGGTCTTTACATCATTAAGTGTGAAAAGATGACAAATTGCATTAACTAACGCAGAGCTACAGTCAGCAAGTCATAAATAATTACCTCTTTTCAGACTTGTCATAAAACTGAATTATTTTCAGCCAAAAATTTATTCTTAACTTTCAAAGCAGGGATTATGGTAAATTTAAGGGATTTTTGTTTCTTATTCATGAGCATAATTTTTAAATATGCCATGACTTATTGGTGCTCATTTGATCAGGGAACAAGAAAACTCAATGCTGACATCTCCTCCACCCATTTGATGACTTACAAGTTTGTATAAGGGCATAATAGAGCTGGATGGTGCTCATGTGTATATATATATAAATATATACCTATCATAGTCTCATGACAAACTTGTAATGATTTGTATGATTTAACATTGTTTAAAAAAAAAAATCACAAAATATGGTCGAGTTAGCACATTAAAAAATTTGAATTTTACTCCCACTTGTGAAAAAAAAATACCCTTTAGCATACAGGTGCATCTCAATAAATTAGAATGTCGTGGAAAAGTTCATTTATTTCAGTAATTCAACTCAAATTGTGAAACTCGTGTATTAAATAAATTCAATGCACACAGACTGAAGTAGTTTAAGTCTTTGGGTCTTATGAAGTATTCTAATTTGTTGAGAGTGAATTGGTGGGTTTTTGTTAAATGTGAGCCAAAATCATCACAATTAAAAGAACCAAAGACTTAAACTACTTCAGTCTGTGTGCACTGAATTTATTTAATACACGAGTTTCACAATTTGAGTTGAATTACTGAAATGAACTTTTCCACGACATTCTAATTTATTGAGATGCACCTGTACTTTTAAAAATAGTACTTATTACAGAAATAATATACTTTTAAAGAATATATGCATTTAATTACATGTTAGTTAAAATTTTATTAAATAAAAAAGAAACATTTAATTAAAGGGATAGTTCAGCCAAAAAAATCTATCATCATTTACTCATGTCTCACTCTTACTACCAGGGTAAGTGGAATGGATTGTAACAGTATAGAAAACATGAACATCAGTATAAATTATGTACATGCATTTGTTTTGTTAATCAAATTTACTCCTACAACCTCTTTGCCTATCTTCACCACATTTTATTTTGGGGTAACACTTTAGTTTAGGGACCATGCATATTATTAGCATACTGGCTGTTTATTAATATTATAAAGCACATATTAATGCCTTATTCTGCATAACCATATTTTAGATCCCTTCATCCTACCCCACACCTAAACTTAACTACCTTACTAAAAATTAATAAGCAGCAAATTAAGTGCGTTAGTGAGTATTGGTCCTCAAACTAAAGTGTGACATATTTTTGGATTTTTTAATAAAAAAGAGAGAAGAAAGAAACATTATATTCTAAAACAGTAAACAAGTTGTAAAAGTTGAACAAATGAGTTAAAACATGAACTGTGTGTGTGTGTGTATACATGACCATAAGCACACTTTGAGGACAAATTTGTAACCAGAAGGGAGTCAAATCTGACAAAAACTCATTTTGGTGACATCATCATTTGTGAAAATGGTATAAAAAAAACAGTAAATAAAATCTTGGTAGGTCCAATAGATGTATTATTACCAAAGAAGTGTGTGTGTATATATATATATATATATATATATATGAATGAAGAGATCAGATGCAAATGTCTCTAAATGCCTTCTGAAATTTTCTTCTAAAATGAGCAGTTTTATCAGGCTCCTATATTTATGTTCAGTTATTTCACTTAAATTGCATAGAAAAGGACCTATACATTGCCATTAGAGTAAAATGACTGAACCTAAATATAGCAGCCTGAGAAAAAAATGCTCATTTTAGACGAAAATTCCAGATGGCACTTAGAGGCTTTTGCATCTGAACTCTTTATATATATATATATATATGTATGTATGTATGTATGTATAAATAAATAACCAAATTTAACAAGAGGACCCGTTTCAGACGTTACATATTAATTTAACATGCATTAACCTAATCTCAAATCAAATTAGAAGTCTTTCGTCCTGGAAATATTTGTAACTCCTATCATCTCAGGATGATGCTTGTCCGTAGGATTTCGCAACGTGATCTCATGATAATTTGTATGTATTTTACGTAAAATGTGGTACTATAAAACGTACATTTACTTACGTTTTTACAGGCACTAAAACGTACAATACTGACGTATTTTCAGCATTTAAACGTACAAAACTGACGTATTGACGACACCTAAAAATGAATCCTTATGAATATTGAAATCGCGGCATTCATTTTATTAGTTTTTAGTTGTCATATGAATTACCTTGTTTTCAGTTGTATTATTAAATTGTTTACTCATTTACTTATGAAATGATAACATTTCGTTTTGTTGTGTGATTTCTGCTGCCAGCTCGTTTCCAAGAATATGCCTACATAATGTTAAACACGACTTTAGTTTAAACCTTAAAATAAATAACATTTCTGCAATCGTTTAACATTTACTTGTCATGTAATGCTTACTTTGATTGCCATGGGCTACAAACGGCGTTTTCTCCGACATGCTGTGACTGACAATAGAACTATAAAATATTCCAAAAACACAACATAATTACGAAATGAAACAATTTTATTAGTGCGCTGAAAATTACTAAAATGGTTATTTTTTTCTGCGTATTTCGGTCATTTGCGTTTTATCCTTTCATATTTCGTTTTGTGCTTGTAAATGTTACGTATTAATACCTACGTATAAACAGACCAGGCTGGATTTCATCACTGTACCTAATTTCTAAGTCGTTAAACTGACTGTATTACAAATGTCCCTGGTTTCCACTATTCCACTCTGGCAGAAACAGAGTAATCATACTGTATATGGGTTATAATCTGAAACTGGGATGGTGACAGGCGTAATCACAGTCAGTAATGTCCCATCTTCTGTCTGGCCTCTTGTCTTGTGATCTCTTGTGATCTTTAGTTTGATTTGATATGGAATAGCATGTCTGCACAGGCACATAAAACAGGCAAGCTGCACTAAAAGAACCTGCTGCCTGCCCTTGTTACCCATTCCCACTCTCTAAAGGCTGAGACATTTCCTTCATACTCTGCTCTGCCATTTTGGTTGGCCACTTAGCATTCTGCTACATTGCTGACAGAACAGACCAGTCACTTTCTCTGATATCTGTTGGCAGCTCTCTCTCTCGCTCTTGTGCCTCACGCCAACTTTCCATCTCCTTTAGTTTCTATTAACCGCAGTGAACAAACATCTGACTTTGTTGATTTGTCCCATCATTCTGACCGGATAATGTAGCTTTGTACTTTTATTGGTTCTCTGTTCTGTAATGAAGACTTACAAAAGAAGGGAGAATCTCAGTTGCATGCAGAAATCCGATCTGTTGATTAATGCTCCAGCTTTACAGCCTTACGCCTCAGTGCACCGTCAGTGGGAAAGCTTTTTTCATGGTTTATTTAACAGAGAGTCATTCTGATTAGCGGGGAGGAAAGATACTTTAAGAGGCACAATGACTAGATGGGACTTGTCAGCAGGTTTGCCTTCTTAAGGGACAGTTTCAAGACACAGGGAGGGAAAGAAAGTGGAGAGTTGTGGCTAAATGAAGGTTGCTGCTTCTAGAAGACTCCCTGGCACATTAACATTTCCCTTTCAAAGAGATTATGCACTTTCTTTTAACCACATTTTACACCGCATGTTTCTCTTGCACTTTAACAGCAGCCTGAATCTTTATTTGACAATTTCTCACCGATTCTTGTGTTTTGGGTCAAAACAGGTTACAGAATTTAAAAAAAAGAAAATGTATGCATTAAGGAATTATTTTTATTTTTCTGTCCAACATTTTTAAGGGCTTTTCTTTATTTGAAGTCTCCTGCTTTTTTTTCTTTTTCTTATAAAATGTGTATTTCTCTTTGATTACATATGGCAACACCATTAGATACAAAAATAATCAAATATTTATTATACACGTTGAGAGTTATTCACTTCACTTGAATGAATAAATGAATTGAGATTTTGAATAGATTTATTAAATGCAGCAGACATTTAGTTTTTTCCTGGTGTTGCAAACTAGCAAAAGGACCTACTTAAAATTATTTAAAAGAAATGTAATATAAACAGAAATTCCATTGGAATTGAATAGAAAATCGATATTATTTTGGGTAAAAATGTACATATTAAAATAAAATAAAAAAAACACTAGAAATATTGTTTCTTGTACAAGCAATTTTAAACCTCAAGAAGAAGAAACGAAAGAGAGCTCAAATCGTTACTCACGTGCTGTTCTCGCACACAATCAAAGCGCGCACAAGCATAGAGACGTGTTTCAGACAGCGCGGAAATATAGAGTTGCGTATACATACACATAAAATTAGCCTATGTTAAAAATCCCTCACGGCATTGTCATTCTCTGTGTTTTAATTTTTTTTTCTCTTGCTTATCCGAAAAAAAATTGTCTGATATGTGACTCAAAAAAACCCACAATATAATGCATTGAACCACTATATAATGCTATTATAATACTATATAATAGCCTAATATA